ATTGTCCTGCCTGCAGTCCCAACCTGTCCCCAATAGAGAATGTGTGGAGCATTTTGAAATGCAAACTGTATCAACAAAGACCCATGACTGTTGCACCTTAAGACTTGTTTACAGGAAGAATGAGACAAAATGACACCTGACAGAATGAATCACCTGGTGTCCTCAGTCCCTAAACGTCTTTTAAGTGTTGTGAAAAGGAACAACAACATCACACTGTGGTAAACACTTTACTTTACTGAATGTGTTACAGTATCAGAATTGAAGCGAGTGTTTATTTTGAACATAGAATAAAATTGATGAAGTATCACATCAGATAATGTTCTGCTGTGATGTTTTCAATGTGATACAGGACACAGATGATTTACACATCACTATTTTCAGTTTAAATTTTGATTTTACATAATGTCCCTACTTTTTCAGATTTATGGTTGTAGGAAGGATGTCCTTCCTTTACTATGTTCCACAAAATGACACCTGACAGACTGAATCACCTGGTGTCCTCAGTCAGTAAACGACTTTTAAGTGTCGTGAAAAGGAACAACAACATCACACTATGGTAAACACTTTACTGTCCCAAATATTTTGGAACATGTTGCACCCTAGTAATTGTAGTGAGTGTTTATTTTGAACATAGAATAAAACTGATGAGGTATCACATCAGATAATGTTCTGCTGTGTTTGTTTTCAATGTAATACAGGACACAGATGATTTACACATCACTATTTTCAGTTTTTAAATGTTACCCATTAAATTTTGATTTTACACACTGTCCCTACTTTTTTCGATTTGTGGTTGTAGACAATAAAAACAAGGTCTAAAAACTTGACACATAAAATTGGGGGTTGTATTCTATTTTTAATAAATATCTGGGTATGATGAATTTTTTGGAAAATCTTATAATTTCCAAGAAAGTCCTATACATTTGATTTGCATGCTGTACAGTAGTGCTTTGCTGAACTGTAAATTCTTTAGTTTTGTGTTTTAAACTGAAATGATGATCAACAAGTAAAGCACACTCCATGCAATAAATGTCACAGACTCAGCTGTTATAAACATATCTCTACCTAATTTTGCACAGACCAGATCTGTAAAATACAGCGAATCACACTATGGCACATTTTGTTCACTACTATATTTTCTATAAAAACTTCAATATACTGTAACAATAAGATTCTCATTATCTGTAGTAACTAACACCCCTATAATTAGTATCAAACTGTGTAGGTCTTTCTTGGAATTATTCAGGTAATACTAATCTTTAGGAAACTTTGCAGGAAATTAACAAAAAAATATGGAACCTGTAAAATAAAGTGTTACCAATATTTACAGAAAGACTGTTCTTTCAGCTCAGATCTTGTTGGCAGATATGTGTGACCTTCTTTCTCACTGATCCAAACAGCTACTTCACACACTCTGAACACAGTTGGTGTGTAGCTGTTCCTTAAAAATGA